TATCTTTGCTCTCAACAATTATAAAAGTAACCTTAAATGAAATCAGAAACGATATAGTTCAATCTAGCATAATTAGTAGCTCTTTTGTTCTTAAAACGCTTTACAAATTATTTAAAAAGTTTTGAAACTATCAGAATATTGATGTCATCGTCCATTTAAAAAATAACATTGCCGTAAGTAGCCAAATTAAACCATAGACTATTATAAAAGTTACTATACTAACTATTAGTAGCCTATATAGTCTAATATAGTCTTCGATATTTGAACAAAAACTAAAACACAAATGAAAAATTTTAAACAAATGTCTTTGAGCTTTAAAAAAGCGGTTTAAAACAGATCCGACCTTAAATTACTTAATAGAAAACTATATCTATCTCTATACTTTTAAACATAGACTTATTTTAAGAGCGATTTTAAACCGCCTTCATATGCCTGTCGTCCAAAGTCAAAGATCATCTTTTTCACAGCCTTCTAGACAGTCTTAGACATGGAAAACATTTCTCAGTCATTTATCAGCTTTACAAACTATAAAAACTGCTATTTGCACTTCTTGCTACCAGTAAGAGCTTTTTTGTTCTCTAATAAATAGAGTTCTAACTTTTTTTGAAGTCACATTTGTAAAGAAAGCTCGCAGTCGGTAAGAAGCAGTGTTATCCCAAAACTGCTTTTCACCGACTGCGAGTAATGTACCTACTAAAAGTATAGTTATTAAAAAGTTTGGTACCTAAGTTTAGCAGTATTAAGATACCAATCCAATGGTGCTTAAAATGTGATACCATTTAAAGGAAAGAAACGAATAAAAACCTCCATAATTGTCGACTTATAGAACAAGTGAGACCACACATTCACAATTATGCATGGGACTATCATGGGGTGACATCGCACCGTGTAATTTGGTGACCACCGGATAGTTACTGTCTATTTATTATTCAAGGGCTGCCACTTATCACAAAAATTAGTTTCATTTTCTTTATTTTAAGTTTTTTACACAAGAATCACATTGTTATTTAGTTAGAAGTGGACCCATTCTTATTTTGAATTGATTTGACGAATTGACTCTTATTTTATTTTAAATTGTACTTTAAAATAAATTTTGAATTTTGAGTGTCTCGTGGTTTCAGTGACACACGTTTGTGCAATTATGAGTTTGTCTTTTAATTTCTCCTGCTTTTAAAAACTTCTCAGTAAAAATAAGTAAATAAATATTAGCCTGTCTACAATAACATAGACTAAAGAACTCGGCTTGCGAAATGATGTATATTTTTAATTATTTTATTACAGTTTTGATTAATATGATAACTTGCGACCATCAAGGACGCAATCTTAAAAGCATTTTGATCTACTATGCCTACAATGAGCATAGCCTACTAGGTAGGCTATGCTCATTACTAACACTAGTGGCGTTACTAGTGAGACATCAGCTCTATTCTCCCTTTGCGGAATTATAGTATGGTTTTGTACGAATAATTACGTAAAAACAGATACATCAAACTACACTTCATCATCATCAACAGCCTTTAATAGTCCACTGCTGGACATACTCCTTTCCTTAGAAAGGAGGTTTTGGCCTACTATACCACGCTGGCCAGGCGGGTTGGTATAGAGTTTGTTTCAAGTTTTCAAGCTACACTTCTCCAGTATATATTAACTAGGAATACTATATTTTTTTGTAAATAAAATAAACTTCTGCCAACCCTAAATTGCCGAGGGGTACCGTGTTAAGTAATATTTCAACCCATAATTCATGGGTGGCTCCGAGTGTTACAACATGTATGCAGTTCACTTCCCTTGAATATCGTATGAAACCCGTGTCTTCTCTAATATTAATACGAGGCGGGGCTGTCCGTGACCAAGTTTTTTACAACTGATCGTAGCTGACGTATAATTTGTCCAAAATTGTACGTTTAGAAATAAATTCTTGAATTATCAAAAAGTTTTGTTATCAAAGTTAAACGTTAAAGCTACGTTACGCTTATATACGAGTACTTCTAACACCAGTGGTAGCATCTGTGTTGCCGCGTATTTGAACTTCTTTTCTACTCAAGATTAAAATTATCGATAGGTTTTATTCCAGTTGGTGCATCATCATCAGTCTATCGCTGTCCATTGCTGGACATAGGCCTCTCCTATTGCACGCCACTTCAATCGATTTTCGGCTTCTCGCATCCAGCTCCTACCAGCCATCTTCATTTTTTTCATTTCATTTAGTGTAAGACCACACATATTGGCCTAGGAATGTACAATTGGACCCACAGGCTAATTTGTACATTCGTGTTCAATTCCATTTAGTTTTCCCTATTTCCCTTTTAATGGCTTTTAAACACTTGATGTTAATTCAACCTTAAGGGTAATCAATTCTAGAACTGCACAGATAATATTTTCTTACTTTCATTGAACGAACACGCATGTTGATTTAGTAATTTCATTGTTTAAAAGACTCCTAAAAGTCCCTAAATGTTTAGCCCCTTAATTTATCACTTTGCTAAACTATGCTCCAATACCAGCAGAAGTATGCTCCTAAAGGTGGGAAAAGATATAAAGACCTGTACTCTTCAGTTTTTAGTGCTTTAATTAGTTTTTACTTTTGGTCTCACTTAAATAGTGTGTAATAAATGCCTTTTCTGGTTTTAATTTCGATTATTTATTAACAAAATTACCAAAAAAAAGAAGCTTATTACAGATTGTATAGCTTCTCCGCTCACGTGGTAGGGGCAAGCTTATTGCCGGGAATCACTTTCCGGAAGGCACTTTGGGGGTTAAACATAGTATATTTATAAAATATAGCAAATATAGAAAGATAATGTAAAGAAAAGTATATTGGCTGTTCAGGTGTATTTAAAATTAAAAGCAATTGCCCGAGAATCGGTCAAATAGGTACCTATTTCTCTAACTGGGCATTGCTGGCAAGTTTGAACCCTTTATGATTAATTAAATAAATAAATATTGTTGATTATCTATTAAATGCCATAATATGCTTAACTTGTGTACAAAAAAACAACACAACATAATTAAGCATGTAAATACATGCGTTAATGTAAGCTTTGTATAAATTTTAAATATAAAGATACAGCTGTACAAAATGGACAGCAATGATAATTCTTTGTTTAAACATATTTTTACACATTCTTTAATACCACAATGTGATATTTGTCAATTTAAATCAGTTTCTCGTAGTGAAAAGTTAAGTGCTAAGTAATAAAGAGTTATGACGTCATAACTTGCTATTGCCAAATAATAATATACCTCACACATCTCACACACGGCCGTCTGATCCCAAACTAGGCAGAGCCTGTACTATGGTAACCAGACTGCTGATACACATACTTATATAGGTACTTTTAAATACATATCTCCATATTATAGATAAATTACACCCAGACACAGAACAAATGTCCGTGCTCATCAGGCCCGTCAAATGACTTTTTAAAATGTAAGTAACATAAATCGAGCCAGCTATTCATTTCCATTAGAAATTTAATAGTGATACTGAACGTTTAAAACTTTATGATAGCATTTTATCATATTTTTAAATTATGAATAAAAATTGCCTTTAATCTTTCAGTTTTCGCCACTTATACATATTATAAACTTTCAAAAACACCCTCTTCCGTGCTCGGATTTATTTTCACGTATTGATATATAAATAACAAATATAAACGGGTCATTCGTTACAATGTAATTCTTCAACGTGCCTTTACGCTGGGGACCAATGCCTTATCCGGAGCAAGAGCATTTAGTAATCTAGCTGATCTTTCAGTCGAGATGCACTCCCACTGACTAGAAATAAAGATAAAACCCAGACAGACTCGAGTCCAAATGTAAAGAAATAACAATTCTATTACAATTGTAGCGAATGCCAGCAACTGGCATCGATCGCGCAATTATCGTTGCAATTTAAGATTGATTTCTTTTAACCACGATCGGGGCGGCGCAGGATCGCGGTGCGTTCATGCATCATTCATAGGCGCAGGCAATAATGACCTTTAATGACATGGGGTGAATCGCTGCCAGTATTAAAGATAGGTTATTATTGTAAAAATAGTCAGTTCAATATCTGTGCTACGCTAAATGCTGATTAAAAATAATGCGTATAATTTTGTTCGCCTGCAATGACGTCTATTAGATAACTTTTTCTTCCATAAGTTTATAATATACTTTAGACACAGAAAAGATTATCAGCTCGATTGGTAGTGATTTATTTATTACTAGGTTTTGTACCTCGTTATAAATAAATCACTACCAAACAATACTAACCTCGTCGTGTAGCTTAGTTAGTCTAGAATCCAGAGAAAGGGCGCGTGAAAATGAGAGATTTCTCAGATCAATAGTTGCAGTTTTTAGCATTAATGATTAAGCTAGGTAAGGTTTTGTAAGGAATTTCCTGATAGATGTACAATTAGTCAAGATTCGTGTTTTAATACAAAATAAATGCAACTTTGATTGTAAACAACAAGCAAAATACAAGTTAAATCTCAGAAATACAAACCGGCAGAAGTAATTTTTAATATTCAACAGCTTAAATAATTTCGCAAGTTTATTTTTTCATGTGGATCTCTGAAATAAAGGCTTTTTATTTTTGCTCACATTGTTCACTACGATGACAATACTCGTACGAATTTTATAATAATACAACATTAATGTTTGATATTGTAGAGAAACGGTTGTCATATTCCATGATTATATACCCACCATCATCATCACCATTATCAACAGCCTTTAATAATCCACTGCCGAACATAGGCTTCTCCTTAGAAAGGAGGTTACATACCCACATTAGGTATTAATCGGCGCGAGAACTGTCATTGCGCGATGCAGGATCGCTTCTTACTATGATTTAGTTACTTTCGGTAGTTGACGTTGGAACATATTCTAGCATATCTCGCAATATGTAAAGATTAAAAACGCAAATGTGGAAACCATTCTATTTGTATTAGCCGTTTTTGTTGTACGACCATTCCCTAAGCTGTCTGAAGTGTGTTACACAGACGATCCTGAACTCGATGCACAAGTACCAGCCACGGTTCCACCTGGTGCGAGCCAACGACATCCTGAAGCTGCCCTACTCTACCTTCAGGACATACGTGTTCAAGGAGACGGAGTTCATCGCGGTCACCGCGTATCAGAATGAAAAAGTGAGTCAATATTATATTAACTGGTAACCTAATCCAGAATAAGAAGGTTTAAAGCTAATTTTAAACCTTGATATTCTAAGTTGAATGAGAATATGTGTAGAATAGGCCGGGAGAATAGCCCATGAGCATATGCATACGTTATACTCTCTCTGTTTCTACTTCTCTGATCAAGGTTCGCTTTCATGGAAGCAACACTTGATCAGAACCTTGCACAGAATTCTCATGCAAGCAAGTCTTTTTTACTGTACAAGTGTTTCAACTGGCTGTTAACGGTTAAGATTAGCGTTTTCTTTTTTTTGTGTTCGAATTTAGAATGCATTCACCATAGAAGAAAACTTAATTTTAATAGCTTTTTTTACTGTGATTGCCATACGCGTTGAGAAAAAAAGAAGAATAATAAGAATTATGATTACTTAACAGAATTTAGAAACTAAACAGAACTCGCACTATGGAGGGGAATAATGTTTTTTTCATAGAAAACCACTAACTATAGGATGCATAGACTCTTTTAGGAGCAAACTGACAGCATCACGCTGTCATAATCACGATCAATGTTAAAACCAAAGTATCATCATCCATCATCATCAACAGCCTTTAATAGTCCACTGCTGGACAAAGGCCTCTCCTTAGAATGGAGGTTATAGCCTACTATACCATGCTGGCCAGACGGGTTGCTATAGTGTTTGTTTCAAGTTTTCCTTCTCTTTGCAGTGGTATTGTCCTGCGTAGTTTGGTCCCTTAGTCGGCTCTTACGACACCCACGGGATGAATAGGGATGATGACACTCTGTATTCTTAATCCGTCACCACACGGACAACCAAACTAACAAACAAACTAAAGTATGCTACCGTTAAAAGTGTATTTGTTTTTTCTTTGATATAATTTTATTTTTTTATTTTTCCAACAGATAACTCAACTAAAAATTGACAACAATCCGTTTGCGAAAGGTTTCCGGGACACCGGAGCCGGCAAACGAGAAAAGAAGTAAGTACCTAACCCTTGACCTTTTAAATTATAATAAACAATATGAAAATGATATCTAGACCTAGTGTAGACCATCATCATTCTATAGTATCTCCTAATATTATAACTAATAACCTCACACATCTCACACACGGCCGTCTGGTCCCAAATAAGACAGAGCCTGGTAACCAGACTGCCGATAAACATACACATATTATTTTTAATTATTTTTTCACACAACACAAACACATGATCATATTTGTCACACAATTTATTGTCCTGCGTGACTGCTTAGCCAGTTGTCGTAGGTTCGATTCCCACTCACTCATAATTGTGTGATGAGCACGATAGTTTGTTCTATGTCTGACACTCTGGGTGTAATTTATCTTTAATATGATTTGCATTTAGAAACATATAAGTATGTTTATTAACAGTCTGGTCAACCATTTGCGATAAGACTGAGCTGTGTGAGATGCACCAAAATGTTATTATTATTACTTGTTAAAACATTCAGACGTTGTAATATAACTCCAACAAATATCTGTTTAAAACAGAGTTATCTACAATTACTGTACTGTACTTACAGTTCGAATCGTTCGTACAACTGAGTAGGATTGCTACTGAAGCCGATGGAAGTTCAGAAACTCCGCGCTAGATACCAATTTCAGAACAACATCTCATAGTCATATTACTTAACAATCATATAATGTGTCTGTTTATGTCTCCGAAAACCTACATATTTTCAAAAAACTCTAAAAGAATACTATACTTAATTTTGTTCTCCAAGAAAAAAAAAGTAAATAAAAATGCAAACGAAATTGAATCTTAGTCTAGTAATTGAATAAATTTTATCAATTTTGTTTGACATTAAAGTTTGCTAGGAAATTTAAAATATTCTTAAAACCACGAAATAAAAAGTGAAGTCACTTATTGTAATATAATAATCTGTGAGGAAAGTTTATGTAGGTCGGCAGGTCCTCTTTGAACAAAATCTAGAGTTGTCTAGCTCCATTAACAATTTTTTTTAAAACAAATACTAAGCAAGTAAGTCAGAATCACGGTAAAATTATAAGGTGAATATACATTGTCAATCAAAATTTTATAAGGGCCTCTTAAAAGTATTGTACCGACAAAATAGACGTTAGTTACTCCTATAATAGACCCTTTCCAAAATTTTAATACTTAATTGCTTAATTTATTGCCTTGTAAACTAGCAACGGTAAAAAATCGTTTTTAAACTCCACAAGGTAGGTGGTCAGAAGATTAATGGCGGCGCAAACTGGGACTATTTAAGTAAAGTTAAAAGCTAACTAACTGAATTATAGTAGGTATCTGTGGATCTTCAGAATTAATTAGGACGGTAGTAGTCCCGGAGCCGTTCCAAATTCAAATTAAACCAATCGGGCGCCTCCTTATTCGTGTTCGGAGTTTAAACATGGTGGGTAACGGCTAAAATGGTGGAGTCATTCTTGCCGCTTTTTTCTATCGTCTTTGGCGTGCAAGGGAGAAAATTGGATTTCCGCGATAAAATCAGCTTTACGTTTTTTTTTCGCTGTATAATTTGCCGCCTACTGTGGGTTGGTTGTTCCGCTAAGTTATTTGAAATTCGAACAAGAACTCAATTAGTTGTTGATACGAATCTGTTCGGTGCATCGTTAAGCGAATTAGTTCCAGAAATGCGCCATCTTGTTTGTGCAATTGAAATTTTAAGTTTTTATTTCATAAGTATTTGTATCGGAATACAAACTAGTGGCGATATGATATGACTTGTTTACGATTTTGATTTTTGCATTTTATTGTAATGATTTTACGTAATAATCCGACTGAAAACTTGAGACTGAGAAAACTGACTGACTGAAAAATATAATTGTAATTTTTTATAAAAAAACACCAAATTAATACAACGTGAGAAACTAAAAAAATACCTGGTTTTATTTAAATATCTGCTTATTGTTTTTTATATCACTCACTCACTTCACACATAGATTTTTTACACGAACTTTTCTCTGTTTCGTACAATTTTCCCAAGATCCTCTTTCATACAATGCTTAACCTATCTAGTACAAACAACAATTCTAAATTAGCCAAATAGGCACAGCAGATCTATACCCTTTTTTTTGTGCGGAAATCTATACCTAGTGATGCGTTTACTTACATTCGGCAATTGATTTTTGTTTAAGTAGAGAGGCATTAAGATTATGCCATCATTATAACTATATGCACAACTTACGGCAGAAAGGAAATACTGTGACATCGTGCAATTGACAATACTTAATAATAGGCTTTAGGCTATAATTATATAATTTTAGGCTATGGTAGCCGCTTCCTATTAGATAAGCATTCTTTGCCTACACAGTTATCTATTGAAATGTTTTTATTGATTAATAGCGTAAAAATTGTACATACCTACCTCCATTTTAACGTAAATTGGTGTTCTAAATGAAACAGCTTTTGTTTTTGCCAATACTAAACTAAAACTGCACACACAAGCTAACTAATAATTCCCACTGAAAACCACAGTTGAATCGATGACGATCCGACAACGGAAGCTATCTTAAATGCTTACACATTGTCGGACAGTCCGTCCGGACCGGACGGCAACGGGCACCGGACGCTGCGGACGAATCTTCACAAAATGGCGGGCGGAAGTGGCGGAAACGTGAGCGTTTTGACAAACGCCGCGCTCGGAAAAGCCGACGGTGCGAACACATGCCGCGCATACCTCACGTCTCGTTGTAGGGCTGTCGTGAAACATGAATGAATATTTTATTGATTCTAAATGAAAAGTTTGTCGTAGTTATAGGTTAAATAGAGGGATATGAGTAGGGGGTTTCTGTCAAAGAAGGGGTTTTACAAATGAAAGGAAATTAACGTAAAGTATAGGTATTCGTTTCTTTGCTTTTGAACTATTTTATATATGCAAATCGGGTTTGGTTTTGATAATTGCCAAGTAGCTGATTTCAAATCTTTCTTTTGTAATTTATCTTAAATGAAAATGCTCTCCTTGCACAGCTTAACAAACATAACTATTGTTAACATTGTACATTGCGGCTTTAAACAATGATTTATAAATAATACAAAAAGTAAATACTAACGAAAACATAAGTATAAATATATATATTCGATAACTAATAATCAAAATTAAAACATTACGCAATTCGAAAGACATAGGGAGTAAAAATAGTGAAAAAAACATTTATTATTCTGGTTCAAATTTTTAAAAATAAGTTTTAACGTACTCTCTCCCATTTAAATGCGAGGAAGACTAAGAAAACGGCATTGTTTTGTTATGGAGGAGTCTCGATCATTACGATAAACAGCTAAACACCAGCAATATCTATAACACGATAGAAGTTCATTTGTTCTCTTCTTCTTACGCTTTTCCACAATTTATTTGGGAATGTAATTCTTCTTCGTACAAAGCATAAAGTGAATTGCTATTAACCAAGTTAAAAATCATTAAAAATCTGTTTCAAGTAAATTTGTAATAATATAATAGCAGTAGTCATGACAATATAACAGCCAGTGGAAAGCAGAAGAAGAAAGAAGTAGATTATTTGTTAAAGAATGTAATTCATTTTATGACAAAAAATAAAAACCTTTTTGTAAACCTTGGAATACCAATTAATTAATATGCTAATTAAACATTTAAAAAACGTTGGCAACCCTGATATTTCCCAGTAAGTACAAACGACCGTTCTTACCATACCTCCAGTGTATCTATACCTTTATAAGGTTGTCCTTTGATACTACGCACCGTAGTGTGAGAATGCCCTTTTATGTATCTGGGTACTAATTATGATGCGGTCTGTTTTAAGGTCAATTCAAAACGTGTAGAGTGGATGCTGTGTTGTTATAGGTTCCTACTACGCCGAGTGTTGTGGGCTCAAACCCCACATGGGACGACACTTTGTGTGATCCACAAATTGTTGTTCTGAGTCTGGGTGTTCTTTGTGTCCGTTTCATGTATGTTTGTAAAGTCCCCCGCGACACAGGATATATTCCTAATGCGGGAGTTGTTTTTAAAAACATAAATAAACATAAACATATGTTAGGAAAAGGATTGAATATTTTTTTTTTTTATTTTTTTTCTTTATTTATTTTTTTGTAATACGGAAACGAGCAGACGGGACACCTGATGGCAAGTGCTACTACTGCCGCCCATGGACAATTGCCACTCAAAAGATACAAATGCGTTGTAACCCATTGTGTGCCTCCACGTTATTAGGGGGTAGAAAAAGGAAAAGTCTAAAACGATATTAGGTTTACACCAGATATCCATTGCTCTGCTATATCAAAATTAAAAATTGTAACCTATAACTAACTTCTGAATTCGAATGTATAAAGACCATCACCGCAGAGAGAAGGAAAACTTGACACAAACCCTATAGTCTGCGTGGTATAGTAGGCCAAAACCTCCTTTCTAAGGAGAGGCTTATGTCCAGCAGTGGACTATTAAAGGATGATGATGATAAAAGACCACCGTGAAAAAGCCATGCTCGGGACGTATGGGTCGGCTCGATTGGAGTGATACTGTTTATTTAGTTATTAAGGATCATATCGAGTAGTTATATGGAGTAACAATTTGACTTAAAGCTATGTAAGTAAACTAAATAATAAACACACAATGAGACGCAATACCTAACATGGCACACATGTTTTAATGCTGCAAGTCCAGCAGAAAGTCTGCAGCACCGGTTCACGATCGTGCAATCCATTCAGCAAGAGATCACCACCGCGTCACAGAAAACCGGTGTTAATACATTATTTTATTGATTGTCACTGAGTGAGTGAGTTAGCAAAGCATTTGTGACTATGTGCGGTGGTAGAATAGAATAGAATACACACAAATTGTCGTCTGTCGAGTCTGGGTGTTATTTGTGTCCGTTTCATGTATGTTTGTAAACTCCCTCACGACACAGGATATATTCCTACCGCGAAAGTTGTCTTTTCAAAAAAAATTGTGCACCAATTACAATATGTTAGATAAATATTACAGACGGATATTTACAATGGCCGCCTTATCGCTAAAAGCAATCTCTTACATGCAACCTTTGAATGGACAAATCGTGGCAGTCACTTACTATCAGGTTGTTTGTCTGTTCATTTGCCATCAATCATCATCATCATCAACAGCCTTTAATAGTCCATTGTTGGACATAGGCCTCTCCTTGGAAAGGAGGTTTTGCATTCAACGACATTAAAAAAAACATAAAAAAAAGACGTTGGCTGTTCGCTAGTTAGCCGTAGTGATAAAAAATAAAACAGTCAAATAAAGACGTCAACTTAAAGCCGACAACAATCAAGACACCTACTTAATATACCGCCGTCGCAAGAATAGCAATAGAATATCTCATGTCCCCTCGTGACCCCAAACTAACCGCATCGTTTTAAGGGATAAAAATTTGGCGAAATTACAAGGCAGGCCACCCCTGCAGCGAGTTTACAATGTAACGTGAGCGCCCTAATGCGAACAGTTTAACTCAGGGCTGGCATATCATGAAATATGTTAATTTAATTTCAGTCTTTTCTTCTTTTATTTTTGCATTTTAAAATATATTTTTTATTTTAAAGTCGTAAATATTTTTCTTATGAATTAACGATGCTTATTTACTTTTTTATAACTTGACACATCTTAGTCACGGCCGTCTGATTTCATCCTATGGTATCCAGATCGTTGAAAATTGAAATTTAATTCAAATTCTTTTCTATTCATTCATATTTTATTATAACAAACAAACTTCCTAATTATACAGTCATTTGTCTTGACTGGGACTCAAACTCAAAACCTCTAGCTCGGTAGTTGGATCTCTAACCACTGGACCAACGGGTCAGTCAGAAAGTAGAAATGCTTAACAACGGTTTGCAATCTAAGCCCCAATTCTTGTAATAAAAGTTTGGTCTCAATTCAGTTCCAATCAAGTTTCGATCTCACAACTGTCATAAAATGTATTTTCGTAGTAAAATGGTAAAGTATTTTTAAGACTAGCAGATTACCGATTTAATTTTCGGTTACAATACGATATAATCAAATTACAGTCAACGTTGGATGTTCAATACTTTACTACGAAAATAACAGTTTTGAGATCAAAATTTGATCCGAACTAAATTAAGATCAAACTGTTATTACGCGAAGTGGCCTTCTGGTGTGTTGTTATGTCTCATTTTAAGTACCCTAGTAAGCATACTGTTTTAAATTGCACGGCAATCACTTTCTATCGAGAGAGCCGTATATATTACATGCTACTAGTTTTGTAGACTTTACTGTACCATCCATCATTAGTTTACAAAACAAATTACTAGATGTTCAATTACTAGATTCAAAATTTTAACCAAATAAATATTTTTCGGCACCCCTGAAACCTAACGGGTGGCACAAATTAAATTCTATCAGTTGACAATGAGACGAGTTAATAAAATGAATTCAGTGCGGAACCCTCTGCTTAAAGACGGGTCGGCCATATTTAGGGATCAGTAAAACAATGCGATGATAAAGAGTTATTTGTTCTGGGCGACAGAAGGCAAATAATTGCTCTCCTTTTTGTACATTTTAGGGTGAGTTAAACGTTCGGGTTGACGCTTTTTATCTTTTTTGTTGTGGTTTAAATATTGTACCTACTCGTTTTACTGCAGAGAATTGATGTGTCGCCTGTGCTTGACATCAGTTGGAGTAAAACGTTTACATTTATTTTGGACTTAAAGACAGCCATTTGTATAAGACGAGTTTTAAAATTACATTCAACTTCAACATATTAAAGGAATTATCATCAAACACAATTCTTGATATATTTCGGTAAATTGTTGTTACGGTAATTGTCGTTGTAGCATGTGGATACAGAATAGTTACTTATCAGGTTTTTTTGGATTAATGAAGAAAAATGCAAATAAGAGTTCCACCCCTTAATTCCTGGATTTATTATATTTCCAACTCCTCCAGTCAGTTTAATTTTTTTCTGGGACTTCCCGAGTGTCATAACTCGGTGTGTTCGTAGGTCACGGCATTAAAATTAAAAAAAAAAAGCCTTCTCCAAACACCTTGTATAACTATTCTTTTACCGTGTTAAAAAAGAGAGAATATTACTTATGGAAAATTCGATCACCTTTAAAACCTATTAGATAAAACACCATGGGGCCAATAGTGTCTCAAATTTCACCATCATTAGAAGATGATTAACCTTTAGCGGCGAACGAGGGTCGAGTCGCGCCATTACCTCAAATGCCAGACGATTCACACCCCACCATTGTCATTTTAAAACTATTTTTTCTTGAACTTTGCTCTGTATAAAACGTTCAATTGGAATGCCATGAACGTTTAAATTTTACTAATTAAATTATATGCAATTCGTACTATATCGTATATCAGTATTCCTTTTAAAAAAAATAAAATAAGAAAGACACTAGGAATATATCCTGTGTCTCGGAGGACTTTACGGACATACACGAAACGTACACAAAGACTCAGAACAACAATTTTTTAAACCACAATACTCAGCGTAAGGATACGGCGAGGTGACCGCTTAAACCTTAATTTAGAGGTGGCAACCCACCTGCGTGTACTTGATGATGAACCAGTACAATATCAGATCAATAAAAAAAATATTTACTACTACTACTACTATATATACTAGATTTTCTTTCGAATTGGGGCGAGAGAGAGACCTTCGTATACCAATACGGCATTTCCATTTGTAAACGGCAAACTAAACCAACTTAATTTTGTATACATAGCCGGGGCATACTTATATACACTTTATTGCACAAATATAATAATAATAATATATCTCACACATCTCACACACGGCCGTCTACTAGGCGGAGCCTGTACTATGGTAACCAGACTGCTGATAAACATACTTCTATATTTTTAAAAACATACGTATTATAGATAAATTACACCCAGACACAGAAATAATGACCGTGCTCATCACACAATATTTGTCCTGGGTGGGAATCAAACTCACGACCTTCGGTTTAGCAGTCAGGGTCACTAACCACTAGACCAACACTGCAAATGAGTCTGTATTTACTTAAATTTCCTCATAGAATGAGCTTTCTGTACCTAATAATATTAGTTAATTTGTACTCAATGCAGCTTAAAATATGTTGTAACAATTCTATCGACAGCACGTGATTTAGTATTTTTGCTTGATATATTTATATATGTAAAGTATTACCACGATTATGAATGATGATGGTCAAGACACTAGCAGTCATGTAGCAGTGTAATTGTTGTGCTGATAAGATGATAACACGAGTAGTCTGTCGGTGTACCGCAGGCAGGCGCTGCTGACTGCGCGGTCGGATACACGGGACGATGATGACGAGCGGCCCCTTGACGTCGGCGGACCATCCAGTCCACCCCCTCCCTCGTCTACGACGCAACATAATACCACCTGTAAGTATACAAGAAAAGTATTTTGTATTGTATTGTTTTATTGTTAGAATATGTCAGGTTAGTAGTTTCCTAAACTGTTGAAGATTTTGATAATTTCTTTCTTTTCCATTTTTACTTACATTTTGTATTGTGTGGGATAAACGTACTGTAGGACGCCCACAAGCCATGTGTAGTGACGATTAACGCAAGATGTCTGGCAGGAGCTGGATGCGAGAAGCTGAGGATTGACGTGCCATTGGAGAGGACTATGATGATGATGATTGTGTAGGATAATTTCTAAATATTTTAAAATTCCAAGTTTTTACAGTAACCGGGCTATTTGTGTAGATATTACCTATGTTCTACACACGATAAGTTACAGTTTACAAAGACTATGAATTAATTTCAAAAGAGAATATTATGAGTACGAATTATAAACTAAACAATAATATTTGAATAATATTTGCACACAATACACCTATGTATACAGGTACAGTGCAGCGTATATAACGAAATTCCAACTGAATTAAAAGTTGTAGAGCGCTTCTACATTAAACTATATTTGAATGTAAACGAGTTGCTAACAATTTTTTTTTTCAGCGTGGTTTAGCTCAAGCGGTGCCGGTGGAGACTCAGGAGCCGAAGAGTGCATAGAAGCCGGATCGGACTCCTCATGCTCAGGCGGAGCGAGAGCACCCTCCCCACCTCCTGGCCCGTCGCGCCCTTCCCCGGCGCCGGACGTCTCTCTCGGGCCACCGGTGCAACCTCCTCTCCTCCCGTATTTATATCCACCGAGTCTGTACCCGCCGCCGTTCTTCCCACCACATCAGATGCCGCCGGGTCTGCTGTTCAACTTGCATCCGTTACTGCAACAGTATTCCTTGCCACCGCCACCTCCTACCCCCGGAATACACGCGTCGCTCGGCAAGACGCACCGGTTCGCTCCGTACGCGCTGCCCGGGCTGGGCTCGGCGTTCGAGCAGGTAGCGCCGCGGGCGCGGTCGCTGAGCTCGTCACCGGCGCGAGCGCGCGCTGGGTCGCCACCGACGCGCGCTGCGTCGGCGGACCCTCCGCCGGAGCCCAGCTCCACGACCCCCGCCACTCCGCCAGCCTCGGACCTCAAGAGCATCGAGCGTATGGTGAACGGGCTAGACGTCGAAACCCAGGACTGACTCCCCCCACGATGTACATACCGTGTATTTAACTGGTGGCGCCCCCGCCCCTTCGCCTCGGGCGACGTTTTATATCGTTCCTATTTTGTTTTTCTTTCGAGTTCTATTCGGGTCGATATTCGTATACTGATTGTAAATAGTTAAGCTTACATTAGAATCATTCACGAGGTATCAGGTTGGTAGTGGATGAACAGCATCGCCACATAACCTACTCAGAGAGACGTCTTTTGTGGACATAATTGTATTTTTATTTTTTTATACTATTAAAGTCTTATTGACATTATTATATCTTACACAAACTAATTATATACAAACTAATTATATTCATCTTTTTGTCACAAGAGGTCAATAACTAAGTGTGTAATTAAATATAATTTTCTGATTTACAAATTGTTTTCAAGTCCCTGAGATGACTTACATAGTGGATCATGGCGATGTCGTTCCGACCACGCAACCATCACGTTAGTAAATCATAGCAACACTGCAATAGCAATAGTTTTTAATTAATACTCTGTTTTCGTGTAGTACTCGTACGTTGTAGCTGTGACGACTTTGTTCCTCCTTATCCGTGAATGTGCCAGAAAGAGGGGGGTGTAGCCACCGCTGACCTTTTACGGTTTGAAAAACCCATTCGCCCCTTAATGATTTGATGAATTTTATAATCAAATAATTATTTTATTAAACACTCAAAGCTTTTGCCAATGTTCACGGTACACTCATATTTTACGTTAAAATTTTATGGCTAAACTGAAAAATAGCTTGAAATTCCAATTACATACTTTTTCTTCTTTTGATTGTACATATCGACAGATAACCGTACTATGCAGTTGGCTATTAGCTCCTAGGAGTCTTAACGTAATGTTACATACTCTATGATAAACAACTTTTTCACCATTCAATAGTTATCTATTTTTTAATGACACTAGAAAACAATGCTAATATATTTAAAGCGAGATCTACGGGGCAAAAGGCCTTTGAATTGAATAGTCTTGCCATAAACAAATCTCGTTTTTCTATCATTTGTTTACAAAAGTATGAAAAACACAAAGAAGAGAATATGACTCTACATTAACTCCTAAAATTACATTAAATAGCATTCAACAGACTCGTATATAAATTAACTTTTTCTAACCATAGCTATATTTTGGTACCAAAATTACTGTACTTTAAAATAACCTTTCTTCTTTTGCTAACAATGTTATTAAATTCGTGTCTAATAAATGTTAGGGGTCTAAAAATTGTAAAATCATTATTTTATATTACTGACATTATTAGAAATATTTACAATTGAAATAAGTTTATAAAAGACGTCACCGCTGCAAATAGTCGTTTCAGAAATATTATTTCATTACCCACTTCGAAGATAATTAAAATATAAATTAATAATAATGCTTTATTTTGTAAATACAATTTGTAAGGTATATTTACGTGTTTACTAATAAATAGACATATTTTGAAAATATGTTTTGTCAATTGTGCTGTGAGATAGCGAGGGTCCGATTACTGCTTTCGTCGATAAAGTCGTATGTAACTCTCAATTGGATGTACAAAAATGTGCTATAATTGAAGGCAAAATAAAGCTAAATATGTTGGTATTATAAACTTTTATCTTCGATTGATATAGAATTTTAAAATATCGATTTCTGTGAAAGCAACAATTGGACACGCGCAAATAACGATTGATAAATCTAACTTTAAGTTAAAATTTGTAATATATAGTTAATAAATATTGTAGTTAAAAATACAAAATATATAATTATAATTATAAAATGAATATAATTTTTCATGGAATTCATAACAATTAAGCAGCAAATATTTGGTATTAGTTATACAAGTTATTTTTACTTACACGTTGAAGTAACAAGTGATTTGATTGCAATAAGAATTGTTTTTGCCATTTTTCTACAAAAAAAACTAATAAGCTTTGTGACAAGGACGGAGGCTGTCTTTGCAACAGTTGTAATTAAAAATTATTCATTAAAATATATAGATAAATCTATTGACAAAATATAATTGTTTTCTTTCAACTGTTCTTGAGATTGGGATTGTTTCCTGTTCATGACTGATAATAATAATAAGCTCACACATCTCATACGCTGCCGTCTGATCCCAAACTAGGCAGAGACTGCACTATGGTAACCAGACTGCTGATAACATACTTATGTATTTCTGAAAATACATACATAAATGTCAAATATCGTCCGTCGTCGTCGATCGTACTCATCACACAAATATTTGTCCTGGGTGGGAGTCGAAACCACGACCTCCAGCTTAGCAGTCAGGGCCACTAACCACTATACCAACAGGCCCGTCAATTAAATCGTATATTGAATTAAAGGTAGTACTTTTTTTTTCTTTTTGTATAATAGACAACTCCCGCACAGACTACAGACATATTATTATATGCAACGGACACAAAGAAGATTACGTAATAGGGAGAAAAGAAAGATTTTGAATGGAAAATATAAGCAAAAGTTACATAAGAAGTAAGTATAGATAGGGGGGGGGGGGGTTGATTGTATGGATGAGGAGTTTAAGCAAGTGTTCGAGCAGGGTCAGGGTCGCATAGCTTGAACAGGTTGTTCACGGAAGGTTTGAGTCCGTGCACCAATCTACATCTGTAAGAAGATACGACTATTACCATAAAATAAATCTTTGTTAAAATTTTTAGAACACACATGTTCAGCAGTGGTCTTCTCTTTGAAGATTATGTGACATCTAATTTTCTTGTAGACTAGTATGTCAGTCTAGTTCTAGAGGATAGTGATCCTGAATACAGATAGGTTCGATTCCCACCCAAGACAAATAATATTGTGATGAGCACCGTCATTTGTAATATGTCGGGTGTAGTTTATCTATAATATGTAGGTATCTATTTAGAACTATATAAGTATAATTTAAAAAAAAAAAAAAGATAACTCCCGCATTAGGAATACATTCCTGTGTCGCGGGGGACTTTACAAACATACATGAAACGAACACAAAGAACACCCAGACCCACAACAATTTGTGGATCACAAAAAGTGTCGTCCCATGTGGGGTTTGAACCCATAACACTCGGCGCAGTAGGAAGCGGCGTGGCGACCGCTTAAACCACTACGCCATCCGTGCAGCAGTTTACTAGCAGTCTGGTTACCATATCACAGGCTCTGCCTAGTTTGGGATCAGACGACCGTGTGTGAGATATGTCAACTTACACTTTTACTTTAAAACAAAAGTTATTACAATGGCGAAACCAAAGCCACATTGTAATAATACTACACACGACTATGAAAAATGGAATCTACCATCTTAAGTGTCGCCGTAAAGTTATTTTACACAATTACTGTATAACAAGGTACGTATCACGGCGGAGTAATTGGTGGTTCTCCCAACACTATGCTGCGACGCTAGATGTGATCTTTATGGACTGACTTTCCCAAAGTTTTTGAGATGATAAACTCTGTTTTAGGTTTATCTACTAAGCTATGAATTATGAATTAATAATATTATAAATAATGTATAATAAAATATATAATTAATAATTATGAAATAATGATTTATTTCATGGTATTCTTATGATTGTAATGAAGTATAATTATGCTTCGTTATTCGTCTAAAAACTTTCATGTTTAGTTTTGCTGTTCCATTTCTTATGTTACTCAAAATGAAAATTTGAAAACTTCGACAAAACTTTTTTTAGTTTAGAATAATTGGAGTAGATATTCATATTCTTTCATTCTGAAGTACATTCATTTTACTAAGTATATATAGGTTCAATACCAGTTTAACATACAAAAAAAATAAAAGCCTTTCTTAAATATAATCAAGAGAAACACGATCATATTCTGTAATAACTAGTCTAACATCTTAAGATTTTGTGATTGTTTGAGTTTGTATCCATGTAGCACATGGATACAAACTCAAACAAATAACAGAGACATTACAAAGTAATTCTGAGTAGAATTACCAACTAAAAAAAATTGCAATAGACACCATATTTCATGGAGAATATTTTAAATCTTTCCGAGGCAACAAAAAAAATTCCTAATGCTTTGAGCACCGCAGTCCCAAAGGTGTCACGTACGTAATTGCCTTACTATCAGATTATTCGCCCACTACGTATTCTGTATGCTCGACTAGTTTCGGTTGAATGAGGTGCAACGCAAAACGCCTCACCGATGTACTTATGATAACAGTAAGGACCTCAGCAGATAGATTAACGATATAGATTACACACTGGTTTTGGCGATACCCATTCATGCTTGGCGGATGATGGTAGTGTTTTTATGCTATAGCAGCCAAACGAGCGAACGGTTCACCTGATTGTAAGTGAACAATTGCAACTCTAAAGTTACAAGTTGTTTTGTTCTTTAAGTGCTTTTGGGGGGGGGGGGTGGGTGTCCAGTAACCTTACTCACTCAGTGAAAAGAGCAACAAAATCAAAAACACCTTAACAGCAGGATAAACGCCTCTTATAAAAGCGGTTTAGCCGTAATGTTTCTGGTAGTGGAAGCTTGCATAGCAATGGTAAGTTAGATAGAGATGTAGCTTCAATATGTATTGTCTATTGCCTATATTACAGCCTGTAGTACTTCGAGGAAAGGAATCGTTTGGACTCATATTAGTGGCGTCTTACCGCCGTCGTTCAACGAGACAAAACTTCCTTGCCCAACATTTGGCGCTTTTCAAAAACTTTTTACTTCGCACAAGAGATTTGTAGAATAAACTGTCGCCTGCGCTGTTCCGGGATCAGTTTCTCAGAAAAACCCACTTGTGATTCATAAGTTGCCTTCATGACCATGGGTGACCGTAGTCACTTACCATAAGGAGACTACTCAGATCGTCAGCCCCTTTCTATCATTAAAAATATATTTGAAATTCATTTATAGATAAAGTCCCACTCGCAACGCAACAAGCGAAAAAAGTGCGCAACGAAAAAAAGTCACAGTATCTTTTAATGATGTTACCTTAATTCAATCCACACTATAGAATATTTATATAAAAATGTACATTCAGAG